TTGAAGATCTACATGAATATTCTTAATTTGTGAAGGCTGTTTAAAAAGTCACGTTTCTGATGGCATTCCATGTTGAATTTAAAACTGTTTGTGCAAAAGCACAATCCTGCAATCAATCCACAAGCGTTTAAACACCTTTAGCTGTTGTGATTTGATGTGCACAAGACAATGGGTTGTAATTCAATGGGGAATGTCTGATCCAGATACGGTAAATAGCTGTAGTCCTCAACTTACCTCCTTGTCTGGAGGCAAGTGCTCCTGGCTGGTGGGATAGAGGAACAGGGTGATGTTTGGAGTAACCCCAGCTGAAGAAACGTGAGCCTAGGTCAGCTGCCTGCCTCCACTGCCTCTGTGGCTGCACAGGAGACCTCCCACCAGGTGTTTCTGGTTCTGTGTTAACAACAGGTACCCTGAGTAAGCTGGTTGACTTACTAGCACTTAATCAGACACAAAGATTCTACTTTACACTTTTTGCACTGTATTAGCCATTGCCCCAGTGATGAACATGTCTGTCTGTGAATCTGTGACTCATAACATATCTGAGACAAGCGGCTGGTCACAGAAAACACCCATACAGAACAGCTTCTCTTAGTAAAACCAGTACTGGCTAAGGGGTGCTCCAAACATCATGTAGAAAGATAAAAACCTTGCAATACTAAATGTAGACCCAGAAACATTGTGCTAAGCACATTAATATATTTGGCTGCTGGGAGGAAGGGAAGTTCACTGCTCTGTCCATACGCTGTTAAAGTACTGTTGTGTTCCTTAGCTTTCCTACCCTGCTCTCCTTGGCTCCCTACAGCATCTGAGAATGTGCCATGCTGTCCTTTGACACCATGAGCAGGTAGCACCCCTCCCTCAGCAGCTGTGCTGCTCCATCTGCACCGTTCCTTCCTCCATGGGGAGGGGCAGTGAAGGGAACAGTTACTTCCAGCTGAGCAGCTGGTGCCAGACCCTGTCTTTCACATCTTGAGTTTCTCAGCACACAAGATCAACTGCTGACACACTCACGTAATGACAGAATGTTCCCTGGACCTCGTCTGCAGCGCTGGGTGTGGCAGGGGGTGATAACTCTTCCTGGGCTGTGCTGCGAGGGGGGCTGTCCTGGAGCAGCTGGATGGGGCCCGGCCTAGAGGCAGTGGG